CCCTGGGGCGCACTGACAGAGGCGAGGCTGCCGGACACTGGCGCCACCGGCCCTCTGACCACCACCAGTAGGCAACGGGTGAAGTGTCTTGCCCAAGGACAACAACCGAGACTGTCCAAGCCGGGGATCGAACCGGCAACCTTCCGATTACAAGGCAAACTCCCAACTCTTGAGCCACGATCACTTTGATTACTCCTCTGCATTTAACCCATTCACTCAGAGAGCAGTGGGCAGGCAGCCACCAATCCAGTGTGGGCGTTCAGTGGATTCGAACCACAGACTTTCCAATCATGGTTTGGCCACTATACCTACTGAGCTTGGGGCAGGGATACCTTGTAATTAAACCCAGTGGTATTCCAGCAGATCCCTCAGGTCAGATTCAGGTCACCTGAAAAAGAGGATTGTGGTTCCCTCAGCAGTCGTTTACCAAGACCATGTGAAGTACCCTCTGAAAGTGAATACAGCATTATTGTCCCTACAACACCACAGCAACAGTTATCCTTGAGACGCTTGGCAACAAGTTAAAATGCCACAGGGAGATGTACCCTCCATGGGAAACGACGCTACAGGCCAAGATCAAGGCACCATGGAGTTTGCTCCTTATTGGAACTGCAGAAAGGTATGAAAATGGAGAAAGGGGTTCAAGTAACAAGTAACAAAAAGATTCCTTAGAAACTGCTACGCAAAGACTCACAGCCTTCGCTAACCACTTGAGGAGGTATACCAGAGAGATAAAGCCCAGAGAACAAACCAGTTGTTTTTCCACTGAGCCATTCAAGATATACTCTCAGTAGTAGGTGAGCAATATGAGAAGAGGCCTAGAGATCGCTTCTACAGTAGTGTAAAGTCTACAGTGACTGTAGACAGTTACGTCTTTTCACGATGGCTTATGGGCCAATAGGAGCGCTGAATCCCACTGTAGACCAAGAGCACCTGGCTGCAGACACTGTGGAGCTCCACAGAAACCGGAAACACTCCACCTCCACACTAGGTGGAAACACATGACTTCAAATTTGCACCAGCTGTGCCTCAATACACAGTGTACACAGTGCATATAAAAAGTTTGAAATATTACTCTTTTTGGGTCACAAAATACACTTTTAAGATATTTTCAGGCGAGAATGTTGCTGCAGCCACTGTGGAGCTCCACAGTGGGCAGAAACACTTGACCTGCACAGTAACCAGGAACGTGTGACTTCAAACTGGAACACGGTTACGTTGCACGAGCCATTTCTCAATATGCGTGCTTTTCATTTTCAAACCCCCGCGGTCTTACACGACTCAGGTTAAACATGATATATAAGACATTTAGATAACTTAAAAATGTTTGTTTTATTTGTTCCTTAGCAAATCGGTTTGGCTGAGATCAGTGGCGGAGCGGGGGGGGGGTTGGCTTACTGGGCTTAAGCCCGGGTTGTTTTGTCAGAAGCCCGGGGTCTTTTGGAGTGTAATTTTTTCATAGTTAGATGCCTGGCTGACAACTGTATAAAACAAAAACTACACACAATATTCGAAGCACATAGTGCACACTGTGGGAATTTACGACTGTGCGTAAATCCCCCCTAATATTGGTATGATCCGAGCTCAGACACTAAGTAACTGAGCGAGGGGGCGGGGCAGCTGCTGCCTGCGAGTGCGCTGTTGGAGAAACGCAGCCAGGCAGACAGAGGAGAACTGAAGTTCGACCAGGTACCAAAGCAAATCATTCGTACTGTACAAATAATGTAAATATGACGGTGAATCATGAAAGATATCAAAGTGATCACTTGACCCATGTTACGTTACTTGCTCTTCAAGTGAATCAACAAATGAAAAGCGGAACAACAACAATGCTGTTTCTTTAGAGCAGCGGTCTCCAACCTTTTTTGCACCGGTTTATGCCCGACAATATTTTCACGGACCGGCCTTTAAGGTGTCGCGGATAAATACAACAAAATAAAACTAGTACTGGTACCGAAAAAAAGAAGATTTATTCATAACACACGTGAAACGACCCAGGAAAACCGAGTTAACGATACAAACGATAACAAAATAACGCTGAAAACCGATAAAAACCCTGAAAACCAGACATTTCACACCTGAGCCTCAACTCTCGCGGCCCGGTACCAAACGACTCAAGGACCGGTACCGGTCCGAGGCCCGGGGGTTGGGGACCGCTGCTTTAGAGAGTCTTAGCTTACACGTGTGTTTATTTCATATTTTCAGTTGTTTCCCTCCACGGCTAAATAAATCGGTTTCAGTAATGCACTGATATACAAGAATGGACATAAGGAGCTTCTTTCAAAGAAAAAACTCTGGTAGATGTTATTTTATATATTATGCTTTGTATGTTGTTCAGTATATTTCTATGCAAAACAAGAGGAACTTCAATACACAGCAGGATATTCACAGTTGAAACCAGATATTTACACTTTATGGAAAACACAAGAACATTGTTTTACTGCACAACATCAATTTAGAGTAAACTTGTTTTGTTTTGGATAAATAAATATTGAAATATCTTTTGAATTAGTTAAATGTCAGAATAAAGAGAGACAGAGCTTCTATTTTTATCACTTTCATCAAATTTAGGAGCACATATACACTAAGTTTATTGTTAATTAATAAGAAAACTGCAGAAGATTCCATTCTGAGCTGAAGAAGCTTCTGATTGGTTAGTAGAGTCCATGTGAGTAAATTGGTGCATATAAGGCAAAACACAGAGGCTGTTTCTGTGACATGGGAAAATCAAGAGATGTCAACCAAAACACCAGGAAGAGAACTGTGGAGCTCCATAAGTGTGGCTCAAGTTTGAATACAATTTGGTGCCGTTTGCAATTAAGAAATACAGACAGTTTCTCTCTTTACTCTTAAAGTTAACAAATATGTTTTTTATATTTATCTAAAAAATAAACATTTAGTCTGATTTGATGTTACAATTAAAAAAGTGTTTTTATCTGAAGAGTCTGTAAATATCTGGTTTCAACTGTATATTTGATGATTGTCAGCACAGAGAGAGAGGAACAAGAGCAGGTGAGACACACATGTTAGTCAAATGGTTGTTTACCAGAAGTATCACCGTATCACAGGTCCTCATGTATCTCGTACCTAGTGTTTCTTTTTAGGTTTGTTATTTTTCAACTTCTACATTTATTAAGTTATGCAGCTTGTTTGCACAACAAGGCTAAATAATTATATAAACTTTTCTCAATCTAAATATTGGACTTTGGTAGAATTAAAAAACAAGTGTAGTGCAGGTCTATGATGATTTTTAGTGCTGCTATCATCTAGTTCTGATTCTGGTTCTGTCTTGGTTAAGTCCTCAGTAGTCCTGATTTTGAACTGTTGTAGTCCTGTTTTAATTCCGGATCAGTTCTGGGTCTGGTTGAATTGGGGTTTAGTCCTCGTGTCTTGATGCAGCCCCGACTTTGTTCTGCCTCGCTGCTTAATTAAAAAACTAGTTTAAGGTGTCCTGCAGATGTGATATATATATTTTCCCTATATGAAGTCATTCTTTTTTGAACAAAACTCAAAATAGAGCCAATTAATCTTCAGTCATTTCTAAACCCCGGATTGGTGATGTCATCAAGTGCGCTGCTGTTCCAATTGTATTCAATTCCATTAGTCTGGTAACGCTCTCGAATTGCCACTTCTGTCTGGTCTGCAGGCTTGGAAGATAATATTTAATGAAATGCTTCCAGAAGTGATCGGCTAAGACCTGGCTGTGGCACCATCTCCATTCATTCAATATCTACGATTCAGGGTATACAACCTGGTGGAGAGATGCAACTGGCCGCCTCATCAACAGGGTATTTGGAGTAACAGGATCTACATCAGCCACATCTGAGGAAACATAGCCCAGGGTCTTTGAATTCAGAATACCCTCAACTTCTGCAAGGAGGGTCTGCAGAACCTCTTCAGTTACAGTCTGTGCCCCTGAAGTTGTCTGTAGAGCCTGCTTCAAGGAGCGAATCTCTCTCTCCCAGCAACCACCAAAGTGGGGGGAATTTGGTGGGTTGAAGTAGAATCTCACCTGCTGAGCAGCTAGGTTTGTCTGCAGTTCAGGCTGTAGAAAATCAAAACCCTGCTTCAGCTCTCTCTCCCCACCTCTAAAGTTCGTTCCTTGGTCAGAAAGCAGTTCAAACGGCTTCCCCTTGCGTGCTACGAATCGCCAGAATGCCATTAGGAATGAATCTGTGCCAGTGGTGGGCAGGAGGTCAAGGTGGACAGCTCTAGTGGTGAGGCATTTAAAGGTGGTGCCCCATCGTTTCTCATGTCTTCGGCCCACTTGAATAGTATATGGGCCAAAACAGTCCACACCTGTTGAATAGAAGGGGGACTGATGAAGCTGAAGCCTTGAAGGGGGCAAGTCCGCCATCTTAGGTGCCTCTGGCTTGCCTCTCCATTTCCTGCAATCAAGACAGCCTTGCTGGTGCCGCTTTACTGCTTCTGTCCCTCGTAGTGTCCAGTAGCGCCTCCTAGTTTCCGCAAAAACTCTCTCTGCTCCAGGATGGCATAAGGCTTCATCCG